TTCTGATTTATTCCTGATAAATCCATGATGGAACATTCATTATTCCCTGGATGCGTTCTAGATGGTTTGTTTTTCTTAGCAGTTTCTTAAGACATGAAGTCTGATTGACCAATTAGAAACACCATTTTTTTGCATTTGGGGGTTTGTTTTGGTTTTTTGTGGTTTTTTAGTTTTTTTGTTTCTGTGAGTAAAGAACAGCATTTGACATTTTCCAGTCTCCTGTAATGCTACCTGTCTCCCCTAGAACAGCAGGGGCTCAGTCTGTTCAGGCTGAGGTGTGCTGTGGTAAATGTGATCAAGCTCAGTCAACCTGCAAACCTCTAATTCATGAACATTGTCTTAATACTTCTGGAGCTCGTGCCACTAGCTCATTCCTCAATACAACTCATGCAGTGTGGAGAATATAAAGATGACATCATTATCTTTACGCTCTATGCACGACCAGTTTTCATGAGAATTTCTCCAAACCTGTACCTTACTGCTGCATCTGTTTTCTTTCAGTACAAGAAACACCGAAGCAGCAAAAGCTCATACACAGAGCATACTTGTTTCCATGCTACATCAATATATTGCCCTCATGGCACATATCAGGCAGGCCCTAGGGAAAAAACTAGTTTTACCTTAGAAAGAAAAAAAAAATGCAGATTTTAATTTCAAGAAAACGCAAACCCCAGTCACTCTATTTTGATCAACATTGTAACACAGCAGAATGTAAAGAGTTAACAACTGCAATAAGCCCTGGATAAGCTTTCTGTAGGAAGAATGTTTCTTCGTTTTCATTTGAATTGAAGTATAAATTTGTTCTAGCATGAGATATTCCCAGTATACCCACAAACCATGACAAGCTAAAGTCACGGAATTGTGCAAAGTTTCATTTTTCAAGGTTTGAAGGTTTGGGGTATTTTTAAAGCTAAAAAAACCAGCATTGGAATTTGTGGTCATGGTCAAACAGTGATAAAATTATGAACAGATAAAGCCACAAATAAATTTTTTTTGAGACTTGCAAGCCTGGTTTTGTTGAAGGAGGCTAAGCAGTGCCCTTTAATCAAAAGCACAAAGTATCAAGTGCTTGTTACAGTGAACAGAGAAGCTCAAAGAGGTCTGAAATTCAATGCAGAAAACTGCTTTTCTAAAGAACAGTCACAGCTCAGGAGAGAAACAAAGCAACTGCAACATTCGCTTGCCTAGAAGTGTTTGTTACAAAAATACATCACTTGCAAGGAGAAATGCTTTGCACTGCAGTACGCTGGAATAATATTTAGGACAGCAGCAGCTGCTGGATGAGTACTTGGTAGTCCCCACCTGAAAATGCTGAGGTT